TGCCAAGTCCGCGGTTTTCCCGTGGAATTGGGCTACTTTATCACTGTTGCCGCGGGTTGTTTTTCATGTCCGCAGGTTGAAGTGACCCCAATAACGTGTATTTTAGTCCCTGGAATGCGATTTTTACCGGGGGACCCCCTCAAAACGCGGTTAGTTTGGGCTAGTTTTGGGTAGCAATTGGGAGGGTTTTGTTGTAAAAAACCTGGCAACCCTTTCCGTCAAGCATGTAATGTTATTATTGCTAACATAGCGACAGGTTGAAAAATACATTGGCATCATCTGTATTAAAGAGAAAATAATCACTTCATCCGATGTTTAAGTGAATAAAATAGCCTTGACAGCCTTGGAGTTCCACAACTATTGGCTTTGTTCTCTCTCACTCTGTGTGTGTGTAGGTGATGTAAAAGAGGAAAGCAGGCATTTGGACCAAAGCACTGTGAGGCAAGGGAGGGGAAGACTCAAAACGTTTGTAAACTTAAAACGCATTTTGCCCCGTTTGTGTTGTTTTACTACTTACACAATTATTTAGGCAAATTCGATAACCAGCAAGCTTTCAGCAGTAGAGGACAGATGCATTCAGAAAAATAAGGCATGAGGAGGAAGCGAGATAGAGATGGACAGGAAAATGAGAGCTTTGTGATGAAAGTGGATACACACTGACACAATTGCTCAGGAATAAGGGATAGAAGATAGGCTTCATTTCTTACAATCATGTTCTCAAGAGCGTGTTTGGCCAGCCAGCAGTTCAGGAAAACAGGAATGAACAAGTTTCTGAGGGAGGGCAAAATCACCTGATTGGAAAGAAAAAACCTTTATTTCCTTCAATTCAAAGAGTTTTGTGATACAGCTGTAACACACACAGTTTCTACCACCACAATTCAGGAGCACTGCTGCGCCGTTGATGAATCTTCAGCATCATGGCAAACAATACACATATTTTAGTTATTTCTAAGCATATGTAAATTATGAAACACGACAGCTTTCTATTTCAGTTGGTACAGTCCTTTTTAATGAATCAGACTATTCAAACAGGAATAATCAATCTGAATCATGAACTGAATCAGTCATACAACTCACTTTCTCACTGATTCAGCCTGGATTATTCACACATAACCACAGGTAAAGACTGTTATGAAAATAATGTTAAAAATGCAAATTTAGAATGCTAGTAAAATTTAAATCAGCCTATACTGATTTACTGTAATAATAATAATGGTAAATAATAAAATTAAACACAATATTATTATTATTATTGTTTTGTTATTATTATTGTTATTATTATGTTTATTAAAATAAAAAATAACAGAAACAAAATAGTTTTAACTGTTAGTAAAATTTAATTTAATAATATTATGATTAATAATAATAATAATAATAATAATGCCAGAATCAAAATATGTTTTGTAATTGTTAGTAAAATAAAATCATTACTATATAATATGATGTTTAACCAAATTAAACAACAATATTAATAGTACTGTCATAAACTAAAGTTTTTAAATTGTTAGTAAAACTTATTATCATTATTATGTTTAATCAAAAAAAAAAACAGAAACAAACTAGTTTTCTAACTGTTAGTAAAATATAATTATTTTATAATCTTTAACAAAGCTTTGATAGGATTTTAATATTTAGTAAAATAATAAATATTATTATTATTAATTACTACTACTTCCACTACTGGCACTAATAATAGAAACGAAATTGCAATTGTTAATAAAATATAATTATTAATACATTATATTTATATATTTACATATATTTATAAATAATATATATTAAATAATAATAATAATTATATTATGTGCAATTATTATAATTATTATATTATAATAAAAATAAATAATAAAATAGTTTGACAGAAACAATATCATTTTTGATCGTTAGGCCCAATTCTGGAGGTGGAGCAGTCCATGAAAATCCCATTGACTTGTTGTACTCACAGTGATCACGAAAGGAACGGCGCTGATCATCTCCAGAATGAACGGAATGCGCAACACTTGCTCCCAGACGTTGCCCTGGAAACAAGGACACTCTTGTCAGGGTCAAGAAACACTCATGTCTGTGTGACCTCTTGGATTAAAGGATAAAACGTTGCTTTGATTGGGTTTGATCCAAAGACAAGCAGCAGGGTTAAAGGTCACTCTCCTCGCCCCACTCGGAAATATGTTTCATTTACTGGTTGCAGTTGAGCCTGTGGCTGAATTAAGGTGTTATACGTCTGCCATATTTCACAAGTTGGATGTATGTTTAGGTCTCACCCATGTGGGCCCTGCGTGGGTGAAGAGGCCTAGATGGTGTCGAAAGAAATCAATGCAGAACAAAGAGCACGAGAGATGTGTTGATGCAGGTTGTGCTCATCGTATGGGGATCAAACGAGATGTAGGAGACTCCAAGAGATCCCTTCACTATCGGCGTCTGGAGGACAAACATGCCTCGTGCTTTCTCTGCCCACTTAGTCCCTTCAAAACAGCTCAACGCAAACAAACTCTTCCTCTATCAATCGCTCTCTATCACGGTTGGAAAAACCCCCAGGTCAAAACAGCTTATGGCGGTTAAAGGGGTAGTTCACCTTCAGTTGCTGGTTCCCATTGACTTGCAAAATATTTTTTTTTTCCATACTATGGAAGTCAATGGGGACCAGCAACTGAAGGTGAACTATCCCTTTGAGCTTGTTTTTGTAGCTTGCTTAAGTATATTCCTTTAAATCAGACTATTTTATTTCCTTATAACTAATCTTTGTTAAAGTATGCTAAAGTGTAGGGATTTCATTTCCACGAAAGAAAAAAAAAAACATTAGTAATGATTGGTTAGCGTCAGTTAGCTCCTGCTGGTAGAAGTTGTAACTAACAAAGCTTGTTTCTTCTTTGACATTCTTTCAAAAGCAGACATGTTTTCTGACTAAATGAAAGTCAGGCAGGGCTCTTAAAAAGCTAAAAAGGGTTTGCAGCCAGCATTGTAATGAATGGAAATGCTAATAGATACAGATAGCTCTCACCAGGTATTACAGACCTCTTTGAAGCCAAGAGGGTCTCATGGTGTACTAGTGATAAAACCATGGGAACATGTGTTGATCGACTCACCTTGTAGCTGAGGTACACCAGCAACATGGTCTCTGAAAAACTGATGAATGCAACAAGCACCTGGAGAGAGGTGAAAACAGACAAACAGAGAGACAAAAAGGGACAGAGATGAGAGGCCTAGATGGTGTCGAAAGAAATCAATGCAGAACAAAGAGCGCGAGAGATGTGTTGATGCAGGTTGTGCTCATCGCATGGGGATCAAACGAGATGTAGGAGACTCCAAGAGATCCCTTCACTATCGGCGTCTGGAGGAAAAACATGCCTTGTGCTTTCTCTGCCCACTTAGTCCCTTCAAAACAGCTCAACGCAAACAAACTCTTCCTCTATCAATCGCTCTCTATCATGGTTGGAAAAAACCCAGGTCAAAACAGCTTATGACGGTTAAAGGGATAGTTCACCTTCAGTTGCTGG